TTTTAAAATATAAAAAATCTAAAATATAATTAGAATAATTATCGAGTTCCAACAAAACAAATAATTATTATCTTTATAAAAAATTGTATTATTAAACCAAACGTTATTGTACATAAATTAAATTAAAAAATTACACAAAAAATGAGGAATTTCAAATAGTTAATTTGATATTAATATCGATATATTTTTGTCAAAATTTTATAATATCTTCAAACATATATTATATTCAAAAATAAAAACATCATCGCTTTCTTAAAATCACATAAAGCCATATTATAACATCGACTGAGATAAAAAATAAAATAAAATATTAAAATCACGATATATCTCGCTGCATTGTGCGAGTAAGCTTCTAGTTTTTTAAAATATATATTATATTTGTTCAAAAACTTTTACTTGACGTATAAATATATTAAATTAATTAGATTTTCTTTGAATTATTTATTAATATAACAAAATATATATATATATATATATATATGAAAAAATTTCAAAAAGATGAAACAATTTCATGAAATTTTTTTATAAGATTAAACATTGAAATCGACGAAATAAGGGTAATTTACACGATTTGTATAAATTGGGTGGTTTGTATTTGATCACTCCTCTCTCTCTCTCTCTATATATATATATATATATGTGTGTGTATATATATGTACATATATGTATAGGGTTGGATTCACGTGAGACCAGCCTGTTTTCATGACCCGTGAGACCACATTTTTACACGTAAACTTCACAGCAAAAACACTGTGAAAGTTAAAAAAATTCACCTTCACAGCATTTTGCTGTGAAGTTTCAAGTATAAAAAAGTGGTCTTACGGATCTCATAAAAATAGGTTGGTGTCACATGATTCCAATATATATATATATATAGGTGGAGGTTCAAACGAGAACCCATGTAATTTACGAGAATGCGAGAACAATCTAATAACCTCAAACTTTTTTAATTAATAAATTAACTTATATTAAATATAAATAAATTAACAAGGRCAATAATGTAATTAATTAATTTTATAATTTTTATTTTATTTTAATTAGTCATAATTATCCATTTTTTCCTGCACGTTCTTTTCCACTCTCTCCTCTCCCTTTGTGATAATTGTGTGATTGTGTAACCATAACCTATCGAAACCATGATCAATCAAGTATAACCATAACCTATCGAAACCATGAGTAATCATTGTGATAAATGTGTGATTATCTAACCCTAAGCGATCGAAACCATGATCAAATTGAATGCGCAAGTGATGTTATAATAGTGATATCACATGATTATCACACTCATATCACACCAAATCGTTTAATGGATTTCTCCCGTAATCGTTGTGATAAATGTGTGATCGTCTAATCCTAACCGATCGAAACATGATCAAATCAAGTGCGCTGTTATGATAGTGATATCACATGA